CGAAGCGCTCGCCAAAAAATATTTGGCGAAGAGGGATAAAAAAGAAGTTAGCATGTCCGTTGGAGAAATCGCGAATACTTTGAGTGAAAAAGAATTTTATAGTGCCAAGTCGGAACCTAGGTATATTGTATTTGGATTATCTTTTATTTGATCTTATGGATTATTCTGAAGCGTTTCTTCGATGTTCTCAGCACATTCGTAAAAGCATGGACAGCTCTCCTGGTGGAAACCGAAAACTTGGCTAAAGAGAGAAACAAGTTTTCTGAATCGATATTAACTGGCGTAGCGGAACAAGTCAAAACGGTTGCCAGCAAGAAGGAGGAGATAAGAAAAAAGGTCAGATCCCAAATCGCGGATTTATTATTCATTTCTTTTTTAGCCTCTTATATTTCGCTTACTTTTATTTCATTTTAGCACATGTTGTTTTATCAACAGTTGACTTCTGATAAGGAGAAAATATATTCAGAAATGCAAAAAGTAAGCAAGAAGTTTGCGCTGTCCGATTTACCTTTTGTAAGCCTTAATTGAATTTGAATAATAGGCGAAATCACGTTACGACGAGAGTTGCGTGGAAGCTCAGTCTTCTCATCAAAAGCAAGAAAGGGCACCGGATGAAAAGTTACTAGACAAGGTATGACAAGTTGATCACGTTGGTTATAATTCATTTCCCAATACTAAAAAAAAGAAAAAAAATTATTTTTTGTTTTCAGTTGCGCAAACAAGCCTCGGACAGTAATATCGAGATGAACAACAACAAAGTATTTTTCAAATTCAAATGTACTTGACTACAAATTGCATTATCAGATCGTGTAAAATTAACCGCTCATTATTTGTATATTATTTAGAACTTATATATTTTATCAATCAAAATATCGAATAAACATAAGAAAAAATACCATACAAAAGACATACCAACACTTATCGATGTGCATATCTCGTTACCTGTTTGCGAATTTATAGAACTTTTAAACTAATTTGCTTCGCCTTTATTATTAGCAATTACAAGAGCTCAGCGAAAGCAAAACAATTGCTTTACGGAATATATGGAGTGGATACGTAGACCTTGAGCTGTCCAGCTTGGATGAATCTAGATCACATCTCGAGTTGGCGCTTAAATTCATTGAAGATATTGATGCTCGTGCCGATTCACAATTGTT